GGGCTCAGAGGCTGGCAGCCGCAGGCGGGGAACGTTGGTTTCCTCTGTCACTGAGGCAAGCAAGCCTCATGTTAGTTTCAAGCTTCCTGGCTGCCGGTCGCCATCTTGGCTGACTGTTAATTTGCATATCTCGCTGATTAGCCAATGAAAAGGGTAGCGGTCGTATGCCAAATACCATGTTTCTCTTCTATTAGTGTAGATGCTTGCAAATGTACTGTCCGAAGTCATTCTTAATTGTTCTTAGTAGGCCTGTCAAATATTACTTATACATAAAACTTCTTGTTTTTAAACAAATTTTTGTTTTATATCCCAAATTTTGGCTTCCTTCTCTAGTCACAGCTAGGGATTGCATGTTCCTGGTCATTTAATTTTAAATATTATATGTCATCCTAATAATTTTGTTTTTACACAATAATAGAGCTTTCTACATTATGGAAATATGTTTAAGTTAAATTGTATGGCAATAGAAATAGGATAGTATGATTTGATATAATAAATATATAAATATAAATCAGAATTTTGCTAAGTTTCTTAATGATCAAAGAGTTGATTTTCTTTTTGTGAGTATATAGTCTTCACTAGTGTTCAGTAATTGGCCTAGGAGATGTCAGTGGGCTAGACAAGGCAGTGCTGGTTATTTTGTATGCACTTCTCATTTGGTAGCTGGAGGAATACAGTTACGCTGGCAGTTGGAGTGCAGTATAAGAGATGTAGAGGGGAGGCAGAGATTAAGATGCATGTTAAACTGCTGTTTAATACTGTTTAGAAAGAAAAAGTTTAAGTTTGCATTTTAATATCTTTAATTTATATAATGTCTTTAAAATGTTACACAAATGCTGCCTTTATTCCGCTTGACACTTGTGTACTTGTATATACATTCTTAAATTTTGCCCCTAGTCACTTTGTTATAAATAAGTCAAATATTTATTGTATTACCTTATAAATGTTGAACGGGTACACAAAAGTAGGTTTCTTAGGCTGATAGGCTGAAGATGTGAGAATGAATTGGAAGCTTGAGGTAAAAATTGCTTACAGTTTTTCCCCAAGAAGAAAGGCTGTGTTGTTTGAGGATAGCCAAAGACTGACTGAGCATTTTGGCTGTATTCCGAATTCTGCCACTGACTCACTGTGGTTTTTGGCAAGTAACTTACCCTCCCTGAAACAAGTTCTTGATTCTTTACTTCTCTGTTTGTAAAGTTAGCATAATAATATTGTACTGACCTCAGATGGGTTGTGTAATGGTTTCCCACTTTAGAACTTTGAGGAATAAAAATAGTATGGATTTTCAGTGCCTTGCCTTTTAAATGAATACTTCTAAATTGTTATCTCTTTATTAGGTAAGCATATTAAAGAGACCATTTAAATGCAAAACAAAACAAAACCCTCATTGTACTGTTCAAAACATAGCCAAGAGTTTTACCCTGATGAGTTTTCAGTTTTACAACATATTAAGTACTATACCCTATAAAATATAAATGATCATTTTATTCATTTCTTTTAGTGTCAGAAGAAAGAAGAATTTATTGAAAGAATTCAAGGTTTAGATTTTGATACAAAAGCAGCAGTTGCAGCACATATTCAAGAGGTAATAACCTGTGTACAGTTTTTATGAAGCTCTGGTGTGTTCATATATCTCCCAAAATCATAGGATAAGCAAGAGCAAATCCAGGTCAAATATAGATGAACCCTGCTTTTAGACAAATTGCCATCTTCTCTTTAGAGACAGTTTCTTAAATGAATCAGTCATCTTATATGTGGTATAGTGCTAATCATAAATGTACTATTGTGTTTATACAGAGAGACATAGACAAAAATGTTACTTGAGGAATGAAGTATATGTCTTTTTTATATAGCACAGAATAAATAGTATAGTAAATGGAAGCAGCAGAAAGTGGATCATTGCATGTAATTCAAAACTGAAGTAAGGTAAGATGATAACTGTAGTATTTTGTCATTCAGTGGTTTTTCTTTGTATGAATGGACACAGCATAATTTTTATTGAAGATATTTGAATTATAAACGGTGATTTGTAATAATTTTATAAAAACTTAAATCTAGTACATATTGTGCAATGTCAAGTAATTGAAGTTACATATTTATTAATGCTTTTAAAAGCTGCTGTTTCTGCATTTATCTAGAATTGGTCCTTTAATCATGTATACTTTACAAGACTTTTTAGAATTAGAGCATGCTAAATTTTGCATGCTGGTTAGAAAGAGAACTAAGGGAAATGAGAGAATTTTTAAATAGTGAAAATTGGTAGTGTTTAAAATATTATGTATTTATTTAAATAACTTTGTGTTCCCATCATCTTTTCTCTTATTTAACATTCAGAGATACCTCCCTTCTTGTCAGTAATATTATTATCAACAGTATGTATGCATAGTAAAACTCTATAAACCATAGTTTATTGGTAGTTTCCCCTTATATGTATTTGTTTATGCTAGCTCTGTGGCTTGTATCTTATTTTGGATAAATGCTAATTGTTGCAAGTCACTAAATTTGCCACCATTCTTGAAAATGTTATTTTTGCTGCTTATTGCGAAAGCTAAAGCAAAATATCAGAATCATGGTGAGAAAAGAAAAGCAAGAACGAAGTATTTTACTTATGTAACTTTCATTTTTTTTTAAATCTTTATACTGGGAGTCCTTTTCTCCTTAGGTTTTGTAATGGTGTCATCTTCAGAATCTATAATGAATTAGCTTTTCAAGTATAAAAATACAAGAACATATATCCTATATGATTAAAAAACTTTTACTTTTAAAGTACAGTACATTTAGTATTATCTAATAAAAAGTTAAATTGATGTAGTTAAAGCAGTTGTCAGACATCAATATTACCTTCCTTTAAGAATGCTTTGAATGAAATATCGTTTTAAAAAAATATTTTTATTGATTTTTTAAAGAGAAGGTAGAGGGATAAAGAGTTAGAAACATCGATGTGAGAGAAACATCGATCAGCTGCCTCCTGCACACCCCCTACTGGGGAAATGCCCACAACCAAGGTATATGCCCTTGACCGGAATCGAACCGGGGACTCTTCAGTCTGCAGGCCAATGCTCTATCCACTGAGCCAAATCGGTTAGGGCTGAATGAAATATCTTATTTTTTTAATTGGAAAAGAAATAGAAATTTATTTAAAAATTTATATTTAAAAAATGTTTTTAAAAATTTTTAGTAGTAGCTTTTTCATCATTCATTACTTTTAAATGCTTTTTAAAACATCATATTTGCTTTTTATATTTTTATTATATGGGACATAATATTTGAGCTAATATTTTGCTAAAATGAAATAGATTTTAAGTATTAGCCATTTTAAAAGTTATGTATTTTGGTTGTTTTTCTAAAGGTAACCCATAATCAGGAAAATGTGTTTGATTTGCAATGGATGGAAGTGACTGATATGTCTCAGGAGGAAATAGAACCACTCTTGAAAAATATGGTGTTGCATCTAAAAAGACTTATAGATGAGAGAGATGAACATTCAGAGGTTTGTAAATTTCTTTCAGTATATTACCAAAGTTTGATTTCCAAAAAAAGAGAAAAAATAGCATTTAGAAACACTTCAGAATTGATACTTTCTTTATTAAAATACGGTATGCTTTTTTTGTGTGTGTGCGTGCACAACATAGGAACCAGAAAGGACATACGGGCCCCAGATTAGACAAATTTAAACAGTAAACTAGTAAACAGATTACAATTAGGGTTTCTTTCTTCCTTTCCTTTTAAATTATTATTCTGATTTTTTTCCTATATGTTTTCTTAAGTCATCCCCATAGCTCGGAAACAGTACAAAAGTGTGAAACTGAAAATATCGTTGATGTAAGTGGAAAAATCATTGCCTTGAAGCATAAGAATTTACTTAAGGATAATTTTTAGTTTTATTACCATGTGAGGTTGGAAAAAGGAGTGTTTTAATAAAAGGAGAATAACAGGTGCTCTGTATAAAATGTCCCACAAAAGTTCTCAAATTTTTGTAGTCAGTATAATGAGGTGTGATTTAAAAAAAAGAGAATTATTATAAACTTGTTTAAGACAGTACTTTGCTTTTTAAAAAGTGGAAAAATTGCTCCAGAATTTTTTGCCTGCGCTCTCTGAAAACAGCTTGTAATTTTTAGAGGAGTCTAGACTTCAATGCATGTGGTGGTGAGTAATATTTTCTGAGTATCAGACCAAAGTACTTGGCCAGTCAGGAGAATGTATAGCTTTGATCATTTGTTCCATTTACATGGAGACAGTTTTGAGCTGATTTATACAGCATTTGATTACTCTTGGGACAAATAAAAGACTATACAGAAGAAATTCCTCAAGATTTATTTTTATGAACAAAACTTTTATGTCTCTCTAGAGTATATTCAGTTCTGATGAGAATTTTTGGTTTTTCTTCAGTCATTGAAAAAGACAATATAGGAAATAAATATTTTAGAGCAATAATTAAAATTTTTTAAAAAGCTAATACAGTGAGACCAAAGAAATAAAAGAGTAAATTGAAAAAATCTCTAGTATATATCAAACTTATCCTGAATTTTGTTTCATTTTCAATCTGATTTTTGAACCATATGCTGTATCTTTTTTTATATTAGTATCTTTTCATCACTTTATTCATTTCTAGACCATCCCTTTGTATTTCAAGATATTAAAGATATTTTGTTAAGGTGTCCTCCAACTTCTGAGAAATTACTTCTAAAAATCTATACTTTGGCCCGGCTAGTGTCGCTCAATGGTTGAGTATCAACCTATGAACCAGGAGGTTGCGGATTGATTCCCAGTCAGGGCACATGCCTGGGCTCAATCCCTGGTAAGGGGCATGCAGGAGGCAGCCAGTCAGTGACTCTCATCATTCATGTTTCTCTCTCACCTTCTTCCTTCCTCTCTCTGAAATTAAATTTTTTTTAAAAATCTATACTTTGGTTTCATATGACTGATAAATTTAATCTCACACGAACTGATTAATATGGTATGAAGCAGTACATTATTTTGGAAAAATGTGAACAAAATACTTGTCATTACATTGTCTGTGTTAAAACTAAAAGGAATAATAAACACTATAGATTATTTGAAAAGCCTTTTTAAAACTTGCCTGATTAAGCATTTTTGTTGAATTTGTTTTTCTAACAAGGAAAAAAAGAATCAGTCTTATTCTCCTGTCTATAGTATTCAGGAAACAAGTTGCTATGTGATTTAATCCCAGTTCAGTTCTCTTGGGGGAGCGGGGAAAGGGAGAATTTTAATTTGGGTCATCAGGACTAATTAGAAAAGATAATTTTGAAAGTTATAAATACCAAAAGATAATATTGAAAGTTATAAATACCAAAAAGAGACATGTACCTAAACACTATAGGAATTTAAAGAAAGAAGATATTACTTGGATCTGCTCGTGGAATGTCTAGGATTGTAAGGATCAGAGAAGACTTATTTAATTAAAGTTATGCTTTAATGACATTTCCTGTCAGATTTTTGGGAAAATGTCCAGAGGCCTTTAGCCCAAGAAACTACCGTCATAAGAGAAAAGTCAAAGTGTTTACATAGTCTTCAATGGAAAATACCTCTAGATGCTCTTAATTCTTAGTAACAAGTTTCTTTCTTTCCTTTTTAAAAATATTTTTTCGGCCCATAGTTCTCTTGTGCTCTGTGCATTGGCATCTGGAAGCTCTTGATATCTCCATATCACCGTTTTTTTTAGTTCAATTGTAGTATGTGTCTCCAGTATTTTTCTTGAGTTCTCCATTTTATCAATTACTCAGTTAGAATATGTTTGAGCAGCTCATTACTATGCTGGATATGATCAGAGATATAAAGGAGGTATAAGAAAGATTATTTGGTTTACTGGAAAAAAATACATTGCAAATGAAAAATAAAAGGTAACAAGTTCTAATTTATTTGTGCATGAAACAAATATTTATTAAACACGGTGTACAAGTTAGAGTCAGGAGATGTTAGGAGACAAAATTACAGATAATTGAGACAGAAAGAAAATTAACCAATAAAAATTGACTCAGTGAAAATTGAGCCTGGGCTACTATGGAGATTAATGACGCTATGCACAGTGACAGGGAAGTTGGGCTAGACACACTGGATGAGTGGATAAGATGAATTATTGTCAATGAACATATAAACTATTTTTCAAAAAATACCATTGAAGAGAAATAGAAGAGTAGTAAGAGAGAAATGTGATCTTTTTTTCCTATATAGAAGAGACTTGTATGTATACCTTTGAAGAACAAAGAAAAAAGCCAATTGAAAATGTTATAGAAATAAGGACCATGTGTAGGGAGCAAGAGATATGTAAAAATGGAAGCTTTAATCTCAAGTGGTTTTGTTTCTTAGACAAGTTGGAGGAGAGGTCATTTGTTGGAAGTAATGATAGCTGTTTGCAGTTGAAGGTGTAAGTAAAGAAAGAGGATTATATTTATAATAGCCATTATGGGGAAATTTGCCAGGAAATCAGAGAGATTTTCCATAAAAGGATGGATGGACATTGGAAAGAGCTTAATTGAAAATAGACCTGTAGTTGGGCTATGTATTTGTTGTTGTTTTTCTCTTGAGTTCTTGATTACCTTGGAGCAGAAATGGGGAGAAAAAATGATGATAGGTAAGGAAAATAACATAGTGTTAGAGTCAGATTTGAAATTGAATTCCTTTTATATATATTATTAGATGTGTGACTTTGGTTATTTAATCTAAAATAGACATAATACTTATCTTACAAATTATAGTATTGGATGAGATCTTGTTGGAAAATCTCTAGTTAGAAGTTCTGTAAATATTTCCCTTTTTCCCCCTCAAAAGAGTGAGCCATAGGCAAAGATGGCATGGTAGTGTTAAATTAGAAAGTAAGGGTGACATTTACGGACCTAATTGTAGCTCCAGGCTGATTAAGAACCCTAGAGTAGGCAGGAAAAATTTGTTGGACTGGATAAAAGGGGGGAGTTGAATGATTAAAGGTTCAGGCATAGGTATGGTGATATGGGAGTAATGATAGTTAAGGAATCATGGCATAAAAGAGGAATGGTGCCTTCACTGTAGAAGCCTGTATGTACCAAATAGGGAATGGATGAGGAGTTGTAGAGAGAAAAGAACTTGGGAAGTCACATTCTGTGGTTTATGAATAGACAAACTAGAATCTGTGAAAGCGATTGTTGGATAGACCTTCATTCAGGTGCAGAAATATATCTCAATGATAAGGAAATGAATTCCGTGTGTGGTTTAAAAAAATAAAGGAAGAGGAAAAATAATGATTTAGTGAGAGTGGTGTAAGACTTGGTAATGAGAAACTAAGTGAGGATGGTGATCTCATGGTCCTGAGATGGTAATCCCACCCATTCTGTCTGATATAGGACAGTTGAAGTTTCCATAGAAGACAAATTCTGTTTGTCAAAGAAGTTTGAAAAAAAAGCTGAGAAATTGGTAGAATAAGAAAATTTTTCAATAAAAGGAAAATTAGGGGAATGGATGAACATGATTGAGTGAGGTACATGTAGATTAGAAAGCCCTTAAAGTCCAGATTTAGGATAACCAGGAGATTTGTGTTTTATAGAGGGGTTCTAGAAAAAGTGATTAGGGAAGGAAGCATTGAGATGGGAAGCAGATTGGAACTATTGTAAGAGAGAGTATAAAATATAGAGTTGAGACTGGCTTGGAGTCTTGCCATTGCTACTAGCTAATTGTGTGATTATGAACAAGTCAATTTCTGTGCCTCAGTTACTTTGCAGAATTAAGAGACTGAATGAGACATCTGCGATTCTGGTAGTTCGCTCTGAGATACCTGTTTACAATTCTAGAGCATTGTCCAATTCTGTAATGATGGCAAGATTATATTTCTGCACTATCTACACTAATAAAAGAGAAACATGCAAATTGGTGTCACTCCGCTATGCCACCAGCCAATCAGATGAGCATGCAAATTAACGCAATAAAGATGGCAGTTAATTTGCATACGCAGGCAGGGAGTGAAGACTGAAGACAACATAGAAGGAAGCCAAGTGCTGCAGAAGGGAGTGAAGCTGCGGAAAAGTAAGCAGGGCGGGAGGGAAGCAAGCAGGGCGGCGGAGGCGGGAGCGAAGCCTGCCTCGGTGGGTTTCGCTCCCTTCTCTGCTTCGTTCCGGCCACAGGAAGCCCTATTCTTGCAGGAATCTTCCTGCAACGGGCCTCTAGTCCAATATAATAATCATTAGCTACATATGGCTGTTGTGCTCTTGAAATGTGCCTAGTGTGACTATTGAACTGTATTTTTAATTTTTTAAATTTGTACTTCAATAGCCACTTGTGCTGCTGACTACCATATTTGATAGCACAGTTGTAGATATTATCATTCTTGGGTTAATTTCTTTCCTATGTCAAGTCTTTTATGCCTTTCTGGCAGTTGCCATCAGGTCTAATTATTTTACTATAATTGATTTCTTTTGTTAAACTAAAAATGGAAAAGAGTATTGTCGTCTTCTACTATTATCTTCTACTATTACTAATAGCTTGTCCATGACCCATTGATTCAAACTTTTAATAATGACAACTAAATATGACAGAGTTGAGTTTTTTTTATCAATGAATTGTTTTGATATTATAGTATAATACTTAGAGACAGTGAATAGTGTTCATGTATTTAGGTCTTTGATATGTAAAATACTAAAAGTGAGTCTGTGTTCATTTCCACATTTCCTTAGACCATCATAGAACTCTCTGAAGAACGGGATGGTCTTCATTTTCTACCCCATGCGTCTTCATCTGCACAGTCACCCTGTGGTTCTCCAGGCATGAAGCGGACAGAAAGTCGACAACATCTGTCAGTGGAACTGGCAGATGCTAAGGCCAAGATAAGAAGGCTGAGGCAGGAATTGTAAGTTGCCAATTTTCAAGATTCATTGAATTTATATGGTTGAAAGGTGACCTAAACAATATTTGTAGGTTTATGGCATATAGATAGTAGTTCTTAATTGCTGGCCTGAGTCACAATTTTTACTAGTTTTTGTCAAAATGAGAAAAATGAGACCAGCATTAGGTTTTTTTAATGCTAAATCTTAAAAATTTAAAGGATGCCCTTGATTCTGGATTTATGCCCTACTTACCTAGTGTTAAAATGCCCTTTCTTTTATAAAATAATGTTCTTCCTTGGCAGATTGGGATCTCCTTATATTTTTATTTTTACATGCTTTAAGTACAAAACATTGACAACCACTGATACAGATCAATAAGTTTAGCTCTTTTAAAATTAATGTTGTAGCCCTGGCCTGTGTGGTTCAATTAGTTGGAGCATCATCCTGTGCACTGAAAGGTGGTGGGTTCAATTCCAGTCAGGCAGGACACATACCCAACTTGTGGATTCCATTCCTGGTGGGGCATGTTAGGGAGGTGGCCAATCAATCTCTCTCTCTTCTCTCTCTCTCTCTCTCTCTCTCTCTCTCTCTCTCTCTCCCCCCACCCTCTTAAAATGAATAAAATATACATATAAAAATAAAATTAATGTTATAAAAGACTGAATTGTTGACATACAGTTTTACAAATAATTTTGTGTGTGTATCTTCTGCATTGAGTAATTGAAAAGTGAGTCTGTGTTCATTTCCACATTTCCTTAGACCATCATAGAAATGACTGACTCATGTACTTAGCAGTGGTAAATATTCAGATTGGTTGGTGCTGGTGAAATTATCTTTCAAAGAACATTACAGAAAAGTCAGTATGTGTCACATAGGTATTCCTTGGTGAATCACATGTAAAGACATGACCAATCCCTGCTGGGGATTTTTTATTTTGCACTTAAAAAAGAACAAAGGATTTTTGTATTTGGACTTTTTCTTTTTGTTGTTTTCTTCCCTGGAATTTGGGCTTTAGAGTATAGATTTAAATTTAAAGCCACAATATAGCGATTAAATTTATTTACTGATTGTTTAAAGCAGTTGGTTTAAGAAAGTAATTAAATATGCAAGGTAGAAAAAAAACACAGTTTATAGAAAAATGTGAAAAAAAATAAATACAGCCTACATTGTGGATGTCTGCATTATTATGTATCTATTGCAGTGAACACGCCCAGGATATTCTATAAACAGCTGCACCAGGAAAATTAGGGAAGCGATTGCTGTTATTAGTTTGACTGGCAGTTAATGGATAGCCTAAACAGTGAACACTAGTTTGTTCCATATAATTTAGTACCATCTTCTCCAGTCTTTAGATAAAGCATGCAATTAGAACTGCAATGCTGGCTGTGAATTCATTTAACATTTTGCACTATATTAGAATTTGATTTTTAAATAAAATTTACTTGCCATGGAGTTATTAAAATGCCAAACATCTCAAAAGGGATTGATAAGATTTGGTCTTTCATATGCTGATTAGAAAATGTAAAAATTTTTTATTAGTAAATAAATATGCTGTATATAGCAAGTATTCCTAGAAACTAGCATCTCATCAGATACTATCTAATATCTTTGTTGTCCTTAAAAATGTGTTCCTTGGTGGATTTCTTCTATTAAAATTTATTTTACATTTTTTTGCTGGGACAGATCTTTACTAAAGTGATGAAGTATGAAAATCAGGATGGATAAAAATAGTTCAGATTGCCTTAGACCTAATGGAAATAAATAATTGTAATGAGAACATGCACATTAACTAATAACATACTTATGGGTGGTACATTATAAAATAATTGCTTTTTACTTATTAACATATAGAGTAAAAGTATTATTTGCATTTTGGCTGGAAGTAATTTCCTTAAAAATTACATTTTTTTGCAGTAGTTAACACTATCAAAAGCTTTCTTTAATAATTTTTCTACCTTCATGAATCCCATGTTTTCAGAGATTTTGTGTCACACAAATTATTCTTTTTAATTGAGATATAATTTATATATCAGAAAATTTCTTTTAAAGTATACAATTCAATAATTTTTAGTATATTCATAGAGTTGCACAACTCTCACACATTGATTGCAAGACATTTTTGTCACCCCAAAGAGAAAGGCCATACCCATTAGCAGTCAGTCCCAGTACCTCTTTGCCCTTGACAACTCTTGGCAAACACTAATATATTTTCTATTTCCATGGTTTTGCCTATTCTGGAAACTTCATATAAATGGATTGTACATTATATGGTATTTCGTGACTTCTTCACTAGTACAATGTTGTCAAGGTTGATCCATGTTGTAGAATGTATCAGTATTTCATACTTTTTATGATTAAATACCATTAGATGGATATATACCATGCTTGGTTACTTATCAGTTGATGGGCATTTGACTTGTTTACATTTTTGGCTATTATGAATAATGCTCCTATGAACATTCATGTGCACATTTTTGTGTGGACATGATGTTTTCAATTCTCTAGGGTATACACTGAGAAGTGGAAATGCTAGGTCATATGGTAGTTCTATATTTAACATTTTGAGGAACTGTTAAACTATTTGGCTGCACCATTTTGTATTCCTACCAGCAATTTCTCCATATCCTCACCTATACTCATTTGACACCTTTTGATTATAGCTATCCTAGTGGGTATGAAGTGATATCTCATTGCGGGTTTGAGTTGCATTTCCCTGATGACTAATGATGGTGAGCATCTTTTTCTGTACTAATTGGCCATTTGTATATCTTCTTGGAGAAATGTCTATTTAGATACTTTTCTCACTTTTAAATTGAATTATGAGATAAACTTTTAAAAAATATATTTTTATTGATTTGTTATGAGATAAACTTTTAAAAAAATATATTTTTATTGATTTCAGAGAGAGGAAGGGAGAGGGAGAGAGAGAGAAACATGAATGATGAGAGAGAATCATTGATTGGCTGCCTTCTGCATGCCCCCAGCTGGGGATCGAGCCCATAACCCGGGCATGTGCCCTTATTCAGAATTGAACCTGGGATCCTTCAGTCCACAAACCGACGCTCTGTCCATTAAGCCAGACTAGACCAGCTAGGGCCAAGCTCATGAGCTTTTGATACATTCTGCCTGAGTGTCACTCCTGGCTCAACACTTCTTAACTGAGTCACTCTGACCAAGTTAACCTCTTTTTAAAAAAAATATATTTTATTGATTTTTTTATAGAGAGGAAAGGAGAGGGATAGAGAGTTAGAAACATCGATCAACTGCCTCCTGCACACTCCCTACTGGGGATGTGCCCGCAACCAAGGTACATGCCCTTGACCGGAATCGAACCCGGGACCCTTCAGCCCGCAGGCCGACGCTCTATCCACTGAGCTAACCCGGTTAGGGCTGACCAAGTTAACCTCTTTAAGGCTGCTTGGTTTCGTAGCCTAATAACTAGGAATACTTCTGCCTATTGTCAGATTGTTATGTGATGTAAATATGTAAAGTGAACAGTGTCTAGTATTACTAGTAAGTGCTCACTAAATGTGAGCTGCTATCAGTGCTATTATTTCTTAGAAGGCTCTTGTAAGGATTAAGTTCTTAGCAAAGTGTGAAGTGCTTAGCGAAAATGCCTAGCACAGGTAATGAGAGCTTGACAATTGTTAGCCAAAAGATAGGCCCAAAACATGAAATCAGCAAAAGAGTCGGTAAAGTAGAAAAACCTGAGTGTGAAGTCATAGAAGCCAGTGGACAGATTGTCAGGAACAATGGAGTTAATGCTATGCTACTAAATTTTTCAGAGAGATCTGAAAATAATCCACTGGATTTGGGAATAAAGATGTAATTGACTCTATGAAAACCAGTGTTAGTGGGGATGTGTGGATGGAAAACCTTATTGCTATAAATATAGTGGTCAAATGGGTGCACAAACATTTGAACTCCTGGATAACTGTTTTGGAAAATTTATTTAAATTTGTACCTCACACACACCAAAGTGAATTCCACATGGATTAAAGCAGCGGTCACCAACCTTGCAGACCTCACGGACCACCGGTTGGCGATCACTGGATTAAAGAGCTAAATGTAAAAAATGAGATAATGCTAAAAGAATCAGAAAGTAATATGCAGATGAATATATATTTGTTCTCTAGGTAGGGAAGAACTGTATACAAAAGCAAAAAAAAGTATTTGTAAAAGGTGGTTGCTCTATTTGTATAAAAATATAAATATGTAAACATCCAGAAAAAAATAAAATTAAAAGCATTTGACAATATTTCTCAGAAAGCAAAACAGAATTTTTATATGACCCTGCAGTTCTACTCCTAGATACTGTATATCCCCCCAAAATTTAAAACAGGAACTCAAACAGATACTTTTATGCCATTGTTCATTGCAGTATTATTCCCAAAAGCCAAAAGGTAGAAACAACCTCAGTGTCCATGAACTGATGGATGGATAAACAAAATGTGCTATAGGCATGTGATGGACTGTTATTCGGCCAGAAAAAGGGATGAAATTTTGATAACTGCTACAACATGGATGAGCCCTGAAAACAATTCGCTAAGTGAGAAATCAGATACAAAAGGACAAATATTTTATGATTCCACTTAAATGAAATATCTTTAATAGACAAATTCAGAGAAACAGAAAGTAGATTAGAGGTAGAGGCTGTGGGGGTCTGGGGGAATTGGAGAGTTATTGCCTAATGGGCACAGAGTTTCTGTTTGGGGTAATAAAAGAGTTTGGAAATAGATAGTCATGGTCGTTTAACAACATTTTAAATGTAATTAATGCCACTGAATTGTACATTTAAAAATGGTTAAAATTGTACACTTAAAAATGGTACACTTAAAATTGCAGTTTTATGTCATATATGTCTGTATATATATGTATATATATTACTATAATAATAAATAGAATTTGTTTATACTTTTTGAAAAAAATTGATAATCTTAATCTATAAAGAAATATTTGTAAGAAATCTTATAAATTGCAAAAGTGTAATAGCTTTTTATCATTTTAATGCCACAAACGTAAGAAAACAAATTTAGCCTTTCCTAGTGTTCAAATAAATGTAAATTAGAACAGTGACAGCATTTTTCAGTTGTTAAATTGTTTCACATATAGGCACTTTTATCCTCTGTTGTTGCCTTATAAATTGATATTGACTTTTCTGGAGGGCAGTTTGACAAAATTATATCAAGTACCTTTAAACCTATAATTTAGTTTTAGAAATCTGTCCTGTATAATGTACAGTGAGTGGCCAGATTATTATGACTCTCCAGATTGTTATGACCACCCTATCAGTACTTCATTGACACTTCTAAAAATACTGAATATTGAAAACTTCCTAAGCAAATACTCTCAAGGTTTTATTATTATTATTATTATTATTATTTGCATAACTAATTCACTTCATTATACTGATGGGATGGCCATAATAATCTGGCCACTCAGTGTATAATGTATAATGAGTTCATTTACCAAAACATTATTTATTACTATAAAGAATAAAATCCACTTAAGTAAATTAATTATGGTTCCTCTGTCAAAGGGACTATTTCTCCATTAAAAATTATAGTTTTGAGTATACCTGAAACCTGTATAATTTTATTAACCAATGTCACCCCAATAAGTTCAATTTAAAAAACATTAAAAACATAAATTGGATGTGCTAAAAAATTATGGTTTTTAAAAACTGTATGGGTGTGAGAGATGTCAACAGCAGATTATTTTCTACAATGAACAGTTATCTTTTTTACTAGAAAACTAGAAAGTTGAAAAGTAGAAATAATGGAAACTTGATTTTGAGGAGGTTGGCTCTGAAGGGCAGATAGAAAACTGAGAAAGTAAAGCAGTGTAAAGAGAAAAAATTTAGAGAAATTTGAGGATGTTTTTAGGCTTCAGGAAAGAAACCAAGAGAATTGTAAAGATTTAGGTATCCGTGTGGCAGGGTATAATTTCCTTTAGGCCATTGTGAATGTTGAAAATAGTTTGGAGTCCTTTATAAGTCTCAAACCCAGATAGTATTGCATTGCATAAAAATTTGTTCAGCGTATTTGGTTTTGACTGTGCAGAGAGGGAGAAAGAGAAAGAAGAATGGGAATGGGAGATGTCAGGAAAGATGGAGAGAAACTACCTTATTAACTATGGGGATGCTAATCATTGAGGTTTAGGGGGAGTTTTATTGATGACATCTAATCATATAAATTCCTAAAATCTATTTCCTGTCTTTTCCCCCTGGGTTGGAGTCATGGCTAATACTATGTTCAACTAGACATTTAGTAATAATAATTTGTATTCATGAAGGTATCAATAGTTTTTTAAAGCAGTAAGCTTACTTTTTAATAAATGTTTTTTGCACTTAAGGGAGGAAAAGACCGAACAGTTGCTGGACTGCAAACAAGAACTTGAGCAAATGGAAATAGAACTAAAAAGGCTGCAGCAAGAGGTTTGTACCTGTAACTTTTATTACATAGGACCACTAAGTAATTGGAAATTGGAAATTGATTTTTCTCCTTATAATTTATAACGTTTACCTTAATACTTTCTGAGGTTACTGAGATTTCAAGAGATCTCATTACTTTTTCAGTGTTTTTCTCTTCAAAAATGCCAGAGCCAAAACTAGAAATCATAGGCTGTGGGCTTTTTTTTTTTTCCCCCTGTATCAGTGCTGTTTAAACTTTGCTAAGATTCAAAGGAGCCTCAGGATTAGGGCAGTTCCAAGTTTCTCTTTTTTATGTAACTGGCTTCTGTGGGCTTGGAAGCTGAAACAACTACACTATAAATTGTGGCTGCTAATGTATATCTCCCTAGGTCTCCACTCTCTAATGGTGCTTTATGTTATATAAGACAGAATGCCTTTAATTTTTCATTCTTTTCCTATTAAATAAGATAAAACTTTTTACTTTAAAAAAAAGGGGGTTTTTTACTAAAGGGTTTTTCTTTGCATCTTTAACCAAGATTTAAGAAGTTACTACTTTTAATCACTGCATAATGTTTTGTTTTCATTGGTATGAATTGAAGTAAAGCTAGACAATTTTCTTTACCTTACCTCCCCTAACCTGCATTTTAACTTCAGGGCATACTGCACTTGCGGGGTCATAAACTGGGACTTTTCTGTACTCTTCGTTTTTTATTTTTTGACCTTTCTAGATCTGTGAGATTGGACATGATGATCTTTATTTCTAGATATGCTGTGGCTGCTCTTCCACATCTTGGTAGCAGGGTTTTTTTTGTATCAGTATTACCTCCAAAACAGTGGTTCTCAATCTTTTTGGTCTTAAGACTTTCTTCCACTCTTAAAAATTAGTAGGATTATATCTACTGGTGTTTACCAAATTAGAAATAAAAGCTAAGAGTTTTTTTTTTTAAATATATTTTTTATTGATTTTTTACAGAGAGGGAGAGAGATAGAGAGTCAGAAACATCGATGAGAGAGAAACATCGATCAGCCGCCTCCTGCACATGCCCCACTGGGGGTGTGCCCACAACCCAGGTACATGCCCTTGACCGGAATCGAACCTGGGACCTTTCAGTCCACAGGCCGACGCTCCATCCACTGAGCCAAACCGGTTTCGGCAAAAGCTAAGAATTTTAAAAATATTTATTAATTTGTTTTAAAAACAATATTCAACCCATTCCATCCTATATAATAAAAGCCTAATATACTAAGTGTCCAGTTGTCCAGTCGTCCATTCAACCAATCAAAGCGTAATATGCTAATGATATGCTAAGACCACTCAACTGCTCACTATGACGCGCACTATCAGGTGGCAGACGCTTCAACTGGTAGGTTAGCTTTCTGCTGGGGTCCCGCCGATCAGGACTGAGTGAGACAGACTGGACAAGCCCTGGAGCCCTCCCGCAGACACAGCCAACCTCCTGAGTCCCTCCCTGGCCCCGATCGTGCACTGGTGGGGTCCCTGAGCCTGGCCTGCGCCCTCGCAATCTGGGGCCCCTCAGGGGATGTCGGAGAGCCGGTTTCGGCTTGATCCCACAGGCCAGGCCGAGGGACCCCACTGGTGCAGGAATTTGTGCATCGGGCCTCTAGTGTTAAAGTTTAAAGTTTATATTTTAAGTAAATATTATTTTACAAAACAAAAACTAGAATGTACTCTTACATTTTTGCAAATTCCTTTAATGCCTGCCTTAATTGAAGACTACTGGATTCTCGAATCTATTTCTGAATTTATTCATTTAAGATACTACATGCCATGTAGCTTCAGAAAACGCTACTGTGCCCTCATGGGAGAATGAGAGTGAAAAAGAGAAATAATGTATTAGGATTATTTTGAAAATAGTTTTGACCTCATGAACTCCCTGAAAGGATTTCAGGAAACCACAGAAGTCCTTGTATCACACCTTAATAACTAGTGTTCTAAAGGATTAAGGATTATGAGAAGCTTTTTTTGAATTTTAATATTTGTCTCAAATGGCATTAAGATATGCATTAAACATATGCACTAATCATTTTACTTGGAAGCATTAAAAAACCAGCAGGATTTTAGTATGTTATAGTATATCTGAATAGAACCATTATTTCTCTAAAGTAACTAATGATCAACTTTAATAATACAGTTTGGCTCTCTTTTGTGTTCCCTGTCCTGTATTTTAAAGTCAACTTTCTTTTAATCTTAAATTAATTGCAAATGGTTATGTTAGGTAAAGGTTAACTTATTTTAAAACATCCTGAGTAATTTTTACATTCCAAATTTTTTAGAGTGGATAGGGGAGGTGAGGCGGGAGTGAGGAAAGGGGGAACAAAAAGAAAGAGAGAGAACGTGAGAGAGAGACAGAGACAGACAGACATGGATGTGAAAAAGACATATCGAATGGTTGCCTCCTGCACACACCCCAACCGGGGCCAGAGATCGAGTCTACAACCCAGGTATGTGCCCTTATTGGGAATTGAACCCAAGGCCCTTCAGTGCACAGGCCCAGGCTCTCACCACTTTGTCACACTGGCTGGGGCTATATCTCCCCATTTAATGGAGGTATAATTTACATACCACAAATCCACATTTCTGAAGTATATAATGTATTGATTTTTTAGTAGATTTCATCAAGTTGTGTGACAAAGGAAATAGAAAATAATATTTAAAATATTAATATTTATTTATGTTTAGAACATGAATTTGCTTTCGGATGCTCGTTCTGCAAGAATGTACCGAGATGAATTAGATGCACTTCGAGAGAAGGCAATCAGAGTTGATAAGCTTGAGAGTGAAGTCAGCAGATATAAAGAAAGGCTGCATGACATTGAGTTTTATAAAGCAAGAGTTGAGGTATGTTGCATAATTTAAACCATTCACAATTTATTTCTATAAAAACTGTTATGATTTTCAAAATTCAGTGAAAATGTACTTAATGAATGGAATTGTTGAAATGTTTAGCAAACTAAATACGTTTAGATGTTTATTTTATGATAGATCGGCATATTGCTTAGAATTTTAAAAAGGGGTATTTGGACATTAAATTTTACTTAAGTCTTTGGGGCTCTTCTTTTATCCCTTTATTTAACATTATAGGTAGAGCAGATTTTTGAAGTCCTTCCCTCATAGTCAAAATAAAGTATTTCTCTCTACTAATTTTAAACTTGTTCCTAGGAGTGAAAACAGACATATTGCTGACTCAACTCAGAATGCTAAATTAGGATCAATGAAGTCACTTGTGTGTGCACATCTGCTCATACACTCTCTTTCTCATCGAATCATATAAACATATAAACAAATTAGGAGAAACATTTTCCATACTTAATGATTATTGTACAATGTTGCATGAAGTTGAGTTTGACATTGACAGCAAAAAATTGATAATCTTTGCATCTGCATCCTTTTTTCCTTTCTTAGTTAATTTCTTCATTGTCTGCAAACAGTGGAGATCTTGGTCATGTTTATTATGGGGATAAGAAGGAAGGAGTATGCAAAAATTAAGAAGTGAAAACATTATTAGAAAACATAGAACATTTGAGCCTGAAAGTTATCAAAAATAGACCAAATAGACTATAAAGATAAGGTATATATTAATTCTTTGCCAATTTTTTAAATGAGTATATGGCACTGTTAAAGGATCCTTATAGATGCCACTGTTTTAATATACTTTCTCTTGAAGTTAGCTTATAAATTACAGGCATAAAGCTTAGCAAGATAGATTTGTGAACATATGTCTTCAAAACAAATGTAGGGATTTAAAACATGTCCTCAAGATGCTTATGTAAAATATTTGTTGATAAAGCCTTTATTTATGATTTATGTGAGTATTAGTTCAAAGTCTTGGAATTTTACTCAAAAACCCCAAACCCTTCACTTCTAAGTTACAGTTTAAGTGGAGAGAATTCTTTAAATCTATTTCAGTAAATAAATTAAGTTCTAATTCTATGGAAATTTATGTGTTAAATATCTGTAAGACTCTCTATACTTAGTTTTTTCTCCTTGTGATTAAGGGATTTAAATGTACCCTGACAATTTTATGTGAAATTATAGTAGAATTACTCATTCTAATAGAAGTACTGAGTGTTTTGTTTGCATAATAGCTTAAATTTTGGGGGAGAACTAAAGCCAAGAAAAAAATCAGCTGTATTTTTATTATTTAGTAGCTTTACTCTTGCACAGAACTGTTAATAAAGACAGATTAATGTCTTTTTAAATAAGTTCTTATTGTTTTTTTTAGAGGAAGGGAGAGGGAGAGAGATAGAAACATCGATTGGCTGCCTCCTGCATGCTCCCCATGGAGGTCAAGCCTGAACCTGGGTATGTGCCTTGACTGGGCGTAGAATTGGCAACCTCTTGTGCATGGGTTGATGCTCAACCACTTGAGCCACTCTGGCCAGATTAATGCCTTATTTTACAACCAAGAATTTTTATGTTTCAGACTTTAAAAAATTAGCAGATATTAACATGTTTGTGATAAACCTACTTGAAATGTTTATAGGAATTAAAAGAAGACAATCAAGTTTTACTAGAAACAAAAACCATGTTGGAAGACCAATTAGAAGGAACTCGAGCTCGTTCTGATAAATTACATGAATTAGAGAAAGAGAATTTACAACTAAAGGCCAAACTGCATGATATGGAAATGGTAAGTATTGTAAGGAAGATCAATTGCATGACCTCTAACGAAGCATTCTGAGGTTCATCTGACTTCCCTATAATGACAAAGGACAGCAGTGTCCTAGATGCTTTCACAAAGAAGAGATGAGCTAAATAAATTCAGTGCTTGCAATTTTGTGGATGTGGGAGTAGTGCAAATTTCTGCTTTTGTTATAGAGGGGTGTTATTGATTTTGCCTTGTGTTTTAAAAATAAACTCTAATAAGCTATTTTGTCAAATGCCTTTAAAATACAGAAATAAAACTATTTAGCATTGAGTCAGAATCTCTTGTTATATTACTAAATTAATATGTTGACTATGAAGAAATGTTTTCCGTGTCCCCAAAGCTCACTTTAAAGATGTGCCCACAACCAAGGTACATGCCCTTGACCGGAATCGAACCCGGGACCCTTGAGTCCGCAGGCCGACGCTTCATTCACTGAGCCAAACTGGCTAGGGTGCCAAAGCTCACTTTAAAAGAATATCAGACACCTGGTCAGTATAATGACCAATTGTGATTATAATAACTGGTTATTGCCTTTAAACTGTGAAAATTTTAAGCAACTCAAAATTTATCCTCATTATTTAGTTTCTGATAAATAAAAGTTATAAGTAATAAAATATTAGCTTGAGATTGTACTGTTTCTTAGCTTTCTTTTCTCTTCCTACTTCCTGCCAACAAAAAAGGAACGCGATATGGATAGAAAAAAGATTGAAGAATTAATGGAAGAAAATATGACTTTGGAAATGGCACAGAAACAAAGTATGGATGAATCATTACATCTTGGCTGGGAGTTAGAACAAATATCCAGAACTAGTGAACTTTCTGAAGGTATTCCCAATACTGTTTTACTTAAATGGGATGGTGAATAAATAAAGTTGAATTAATGCTTACATTTCTGGATATTTCATTGCAGTTATTTTCCCTAGCTGGAGATGTTTCGGCAGGCCAGCTGCCCCTAGCTATGATTTCACAGAGCAATTTGTTATTGCCACATTGCTGGGTCTGATTATCTTTGCGTGTCTTACAGCGAAACTTTTTTTTGAGTGCAATCACAGATTTGATCAGTTGTTTAGGCATTATTTTGTTAGTATCATAAGAAACTAGAATACCAATTTATTAATTTATTTTGAGAAGTATAGCCATCTACTAAATAGAACAGAAAAGTTGCATTAACTGGTCAGCTATATTTTTACTATATTCAAACCTAAATAGGAAGTCAAAATTATTGGGAAGAGTTTTAGGTGAATATGTAGCCAGAATAGAACAAGTTAAGGATCTCCATGGCTATGTTCATTAGTATATGAGAATTATTATCCCCATTTTAGGATTATATCTAACAACTAGTTAAGCCCCAGTTTTACCCTGGAGATAATGAAAGATGCCCCCTGCCCCCAGATAAATTTTTAACTCTTGACTCTTTTTTCTTAAACTCCACTATTGACTTATCTTCTGTCTTAAAACTGGTCATATACTATACAATAAAGTTGTTTGTATTATAGCTGTGATTATGCTAATACTGATATACTTCCTTGAAATTACACTCAGGTCCCATTATTTGAATTAGACAGGTTCCATATTTCCTCACTTAGATTTTAGATTCTTCCACCTGCTTTCCTTCAACAGGTATTTATTAAGCACCTACCATGTGTAAAATACTGTACCAGGCCCTGAGGACATAGTGGTGTGGTAGATGTAAAGTCTGAAGACGGTTTATAGTCTGGCTCTTGCAGAATAATTACTTTTACACATGTCTCATATTTGCTACCATTAGACTTTTCACTTGAGAAGTTTTACACTTGAGAACCTACTTACAAATTCTAGGACCCTAGGTAAATTTCCTACCTAGTAAGTGATGGTATTCATCCAGTGGGCTTGCTGAGATGTAACTTAAAATAGTTGTGGAACTTCTTTTATTATATTCCTTGTGAATTGAGTTACAAAGAAAGCAATTCAGACTTAAATGTTTTCTACTTTGAAAGTAGTTAAAATTATACTGTTAAGAGTTTCATCTAAGTGAGGACAATAATAGTAAGTACCTTGAAGGGTTGTTGTGAGGATTGAATTTCTTAATACTTAAGAAAATGTACGGGGTGTATAGTAAGCATTTGAATGTTAAGCATGATGATGATGATGATCATTATATCAGTAGCTTTGCAGTTCTTAGCTGGGGTCACATACCTGAATATTTGTTTTAATGTGGTGTCATTTTTGTTTGTTTGTTTTTTAAATATACAAGGGCTTTTCTTTCTAGAAAATTTGTAGAATATGGAAAAATATAAAGGAGGAAATCAGTCACGAATAATTTCTTAAATCATTTTCACATTTGAAAAAACTTGCTTCTAAACTTTTCTACACAGACATAGGATTTTAGACATCAGATTAATGTGTATGCACAATTTGGATTTCTTTTTGTACCTAAGACTATATTACAGGCATTCTTTAGTATTGTTAAAAATGTGTTGTAAGCATTCGTTTTAATTATCATAGTCTGACTTGAAGCTTCTTTGAAGTACATTCGTAGTATTCATGGTATTCAAAGAATTATTGAGGTATATCATATATTTTAGCCTAATTATTTTAAAATTTAAATTCTTTATTGTGTAAAGTATTACATAAGTCTTCTTTTCCCCCCATAGACCTCTCCTCGACCACCCGCATCCACCAGCATATGCCCTTACCCCTCTACTATCTGTGTCCATGTGTATGCATATAAGTCCTTTGGTTGATCTCTTACCCCCTTACCCCCACCCTCCCCTACTTTCCCTCTGGGGACTGACAGTAAAACTTACTTGCTTTGATGTCATGTTTTCTTTTG